TCTAATGTGCGCAATTAGTGCGTAAATAAGTATACGTAGTAAGTGTAAATAAGTATGTATACAGTAAATACATAAATACGCAATAATTAAAAAAAATAAACATCATATTATTATTTAGACGATTTTTTGGCTATTAATAATTAATTATAGTATTAATTGTTTAATTTAAATTGTTCTTGTCATTATAATATTTTTTAAATATTTGACTATAATAATTTTTCTAAAAATTTTTTTTTATAATTTATATTTTTATTTTGAATTATATAATTATTATATATAATTGATTATATATATAATCCTCTTTAATCAAATCGTATATTTAACATTTAAGTACATAATTTTTTACAGTTCTACAAAATCATTATTGATATTATATTAATTAATTTTAAATATTGTTATAATATTTTAAATATTAATGTTATTATACATAATTTAATCTTTCACGTATGATAATTCTTGTTGATATAACTTTTCTTTTGATCAGTTATTTGTATTGATATTATAACATATTTAAAGCCGGCGTATTAGAGAAATCATACATCTTGAGCAATATCGAGAAACAATAAATTATTTATTACGTTAAGAATTATAGTACTGATTCGAGATTAGAACATCAGGGTCAACGATCAAGAAATGAAGATGTTCTTTGGATATGTTATGCAAGCTTAAGGTTATCTTCTAAGCATCACCCTAAGAGATAACTTTACTATCCTTACATGCTTAGTAAATAATACGAGGACACTATTTTTGTATCATTTTTAGTTAAGACGAGACTGTTTTAAATATTTTAGATTAACAATATTTTTCGACATAAATCGCATGTAAACTTATTTTGTAAATAAAATTCTCTTCTTAAACAAGAAAAGTTTTCCCTATAATCTCAAAGTTTCTTGTACAAAAACGATGAAATTAAAGATTTTGTAATAGTAACATAATCAATATATAGCATATTATGTAATTAAAAGCTATATTTATAACAAAGGTTAAACGTTTGATAACTTAAATTGCATACAAAATTTATTTTAAGTTAATCTTTTTAAAGGAGTAAATTTTTTTCCGGTTTACATACCTTTTAAAATTGATCTTTCAAATTTGAAATTTAATGCAATAAGTTCAAAGAGCCATATTCGATTAAGGCTGATTTTGGTGTCTAATAATATTGTTGCTTTCGATTATATAATTTGTCATATTTTATGCAAACTGCGCACCAATTATCTTTTATTAATAAAAATTATAAGAATCATGATTAGAATTTATAAATTATTACATGTTTTATCTGTAGGAAGAAGTATTCGATCAAAATTGTTATCATGCGATAATTCCCTTTCTTTTAATCATTTTCTTTTAATCATTTAAAAACAAAAGGAGGGAGGAGATTAGTAAGAGAGAATGAATTATATATTATAGATAAGAGATCGAAGAAAGTGATTTTTTTTCTAGACCACGCTTCTCCCTTTATCTGTGGCGGCGGCGGGATAATTGATTCGTTAGCGCGCGGGCGAGGAAGGGTTGCGAGAGTTCGATGACTTACAATATCACACAACTGTCATAAACTAATTAGTAAAAATTAATTCATCATCAGTTTGCGCGCGGCATCTATTCATTGCGAGAAATAGAGTATCGTAATATATAAAATTGCAGTAAATTTAATGATTAAAATAATTAAAAATTATACAAAAAGAAAGATATGGTTTACACAATCAAAAATATTTAACTATGAGTAATATCATCGTAATTATTTTTGTGTGATAGGTATGTGTATGGTTGACATGATTTATTTCCTTTGATATGTTGATTACATCAATATAGTTATATGTGATCTGATTGTAACAATCAAAATTTGTTTGGGGGACTATTTACTATGAATATCTATCTGTATAATTACATCAATCGATGTCACACTACAAAGTACGATGTGTGTGTGTGTGTGTGTGTGTGTGTGTGTGTGTGTGTGTGTGTGTGTGTGTGTGTGTGTGTGTGTAATAGGAATTAAATTAATATAAGAAGTAATTACTTAAATTGAAATTTATAACGACTTTTATGCTCCTTTCCCTAATAATTGATCATTTAAAAAATTATTTGACTATATTGATTTGTGAGGATGATACCTAAATGAGAAGAAACGTCCAGATTGCACACAAACTTGAGCAATGATCTGATACCAGAAAGCACGTTGGCGGTGCATTTTTTGAGAAGAGTTAAATTGATAATTGGTACCAATTCCGTTCTCGTCAATTGTCAAACGCATTGATTAAAACCTTTTTCATGCCGACGTCTTTCGCACGCTGCCGCGATGGATCAGTTTATTTTGCTGCTTGAAAGTAATAAAATAAAAGTAATGTTGATTGCGCTATAAATATATTCTTTGCGAAATTTAAGCGTGTACAATTTTTATTTTATAAAAATTTTTTTTCAAAATTTTCAATCTCAGAAAGCAAACACAATACAAAAGATGTATAAAGTGTGCGTTTCAACAAAAAGTTTCAAAAATTTTATTCGTGCTTTATATTGACATTTTCATATTTTATAAATTAATAAGATTATATTTGTTGGAAATAATGAAATATACATTCTAAAAATTCCGATCACACAGAAAAAAAAATATATTATATTATAAACTTCAGATCTCATAGAGTATATATTATGGTGTGCGATATGACATGTGATCAGTCATAATTCATGTAATGAACAATAATCCGAGTCGGCGAAGGCGGCGCGCAAAAGAACGACGTTTTCGTCCTTCTCCGTAAGAAAGGGATTAGATGGCCCTGTATCCGTTACGTGCTCGTCTTTCATCCTCGACGCTATGCTTATGGGCTGCCATGATGTGTCGTCGTGTAGTTAAGTTAATTAATGAATGGTACAGTCGAGCTGGAGAGTGGACTTAAATTGATACGTCCTTCGCCGCTCGCGCGCAGTCATTTTCGTGCCGCCGACGCTTGGTTCGCAGCTGGGGATACTTGCAATATCAAAATGCATCGATACTGCTCCTTTCATCCTGAACATCTTTTGGCATCGTTATTTCATTTTCAATAGTAAATATCAACGTTCAAAAGAGTGTAGAAAGTAGAAACGCTGCATTGTTAAATGCAGCGTCATAACATTTTATACCCTCTATTTGAGTTATTTTTAACCCTTTAAATTGCCACTGTTCTTACTCAATATATCCTTAATGGATTTAAACAATTTAACTCAAGAACTGTATTAATTTGGCTGACATTTAGTTTATTTACTTTAAGTGCACATGCATTAATAAGAAATGCTGTTTGAAATTAGTAAGTTAAGTAATTCTACTACAAAAATGGATTAATTAGATGTGGTTTTTTTAAATTACATATATTTTGTATTAAAATAATACTTTTTTTATTCATTTATCAAAAATAACATAAAATGTATAATAAATAATAAAATGTTATTTCAAGAAATTGCTTTAAATCTGATTCTTTAATTTTTAACAGCGTGACTAAAAAATTATTAAAATAAATTTGAAATATCTTATGTATTTTTGTGTGCATATTATTTGTATTAATATATTTGTTGTTTCTTTCTCGTTAATATTTCTACTTGATTACTGCAATCGATTGTTGTCAATGCAAGGTATCTACGCTTTTATTGAAAATGGCGGACAGCGTTGCGGTAAACTCCTGGTATTTGAACGAATGGAAATTGAATTTCAATCAAACCTAAGCACGTCTACTCGAAGTAAATACATGATTTTCTTGCGCTTCTGACAAATTGGCAGTTCAAAGGGAAAAACTGTCACGACTGCAAGGATATGCTTACGTGCATTGCATTGCCAAAGAATGCAAGAACTAGGTCGTCGGAACAACAAATCAACTCATCGACATAGATTTCAAGAATCGCGAACAACACTATGGTCTTTAATATTCCTCATTAATTAACACGTCGTATCAATGACAATATCCGCACTCGACGCGAAAGCCATCGATTAGACGGAGAATAAAAAGTTATGAAAGTGATGAATACGCAAATCGTCGTTATATGTTTATACGAGAAAATATTTACAAAATTAGCTTATTTGTAATAGCTTATTTGTGATAACAGCAATGAAATTTATATTTTTGTTAAGAAAAAATTAATTCTGTGTTTTTCAAGGAATATAAACGGAAGAATTTTAAATCATTTTACTTAACTTGGAGAATTAATAAGATTTTTAAAATTTGTTTATAATACTTCTATATTAAAAAAAAATAATTTTTATTTATTATTAAATATTAT